CACACACACACACACACACACACACACACACACACACACACACACACACACACACACACACACACCATAGCAAAATTGGTCTGGACCAGTTCTGTGTCACATGCCCTTATCTGATCAGTAACACTCGGCCCAGATACCGCAAAGAATGACAGCCCTTTGGTGGCCCAGATGCAGTTTGACAACGGTGGTCCACACATTGGCCAGCACCCACATATACCAAACATCAACCGGGCCAGTTGTGGTGACAGATSTGGAACACATATACTGAACCAGTCGGGCCATTTGTGGAATGCCATTATGCAATCGGTGCCATCATTGCCACACCTGGCCCACAGCCGATTGATAAACAACTTGCCATGCCAGCAGTCAGCCAGCAGTGCCAGCTTGTCAAGCTGCCCCAAAACCATGCACAATAGGTTYCCTTCAGGCCCAGGCCTCCCTTGAAAAAGAGATCTGTGATCTCGGTGGGATTTGTCTGGTTAAACAACGGTTAAAWAAAAGAGAAAAGAAAAGAAAAATGGACACCAGATCTGGCCCAGACCTATTTGCAATGCGGGAACCTTAGCAAACACAAAAATGACTATAACTTAGTTTAGCTCAAATTTGATGAGTAACTGGCTGAGAGTCATCCTGAACATGCAACCCTAATGCTAACAACCTGATGGCCATGACTCTGTTCCTTCTCAAAACTAAAACTCTAGTAACGGTGGTGAATGATATGCATTCGTTCAAGGATTGCTAGGTTTTTAATTACATCATGCGATTTACAGAACTTAGCCTTGCTCTCGTGCAATCGTATTTCCCAAAAAGTGTAAGGATCCATCAGGATGGAAGTTTACAAGAAAGAAACAGGATTATTGCAGATTGAAATCTGGTCAAGGAACAAGCTCCTTTTACTTTCTCTAAATAATGCATGTGCTTGGCACCCGGTGGCACAATGACACTTCGCTTCTCAGTTGTTCGACACCAGAGACGTGCTCAGATCAAGGTATGATGTATGCAGGTTACTGAGATCACATTGGTAAGAATAATTGAAAAAATACAGTTGGAACGGTTGAAAACTGCTAATCAGAGGCTACTCTGGGGAAGTTTAGACTGAAAACTATAAATATACAAATTTAGTGACCACACACAAGACCACCAATTTGATACACACAGAATATAGGTATTTTATAACTGAATGATTCTGAACCTTTTTATATGGTTTATTTACAACATTTGTTCTCCTCAACTTAACATAGTTGGGTCATTTTGTGGGTAGAAGAAAGCTGAAACATCTGTGAAGTTCAGGTTAATATGATCGTATTATTAATCCAAAACTAAATTTAACAGCTAATASACAAAGATGCAACGAGAAAGAGGCAATTCAACAAATAGAAAAATATTAATTTCAACAGCTGTCAAAGATTTCCGTACACAGTGACGTCGTTCTGCACAGGGGGCAGCGATTGGATGTCAGCTGGACTGGCTGCAGGCAGCAGGGGGGCTAGTTCCAGGAGGAGCTTCTTATTTGTTGCCAGGTGGGTTTGGAGTAGCGCTGACACCATGGTGGACAGGTACTCATTGGACACCTGACAAACAGAAAAAAAAAACCACTGTCAGCAAGAATACAACACTATCTGCTCTGTAATCAAGACGGGACTGCTGCAACAGATTTGGAGATTAAGAGTTCCAGGATGAGCTGCTCTGATTGCTCAGATCAAGTGTTTAGTTTTACCTGCAGGGTGTTTTTAAAAGCGGCGTAGTATTGAAGAATCAGTCTGGCGATGCTGTCACTGGTCAAAGCCAGCACTGACCTCAGGCTGTTCAAAGGTAACTTGAAGTACTCCTACACACAAGTAAATGTATATTTATAACTTGGACAATTCACAGTGTAATTAGCATTTAGGTTAAAACATGTCAAACCTTGATGAGAAGCAGGTCATCAGTGCTCAGGCCTCTGGTCGTCTGCAGCAAACCACCGAGTAACGTCTAGAAAAACAAAAGTAAATGTGCACACTAGTTCTTATAAAAGCAGCAGGTTCAGATGTTATCAGTCCATTAAATGGACGTTATTAGTGGTTATCAGTTCCATAGAATGGCTTCAGACTGTGTACCTACTAACACATTGGAAGGCAACAATCTGCCGGACTTCGGTCTACTTTAACCTGGCCCAGGTCATTTTCTCTAAAATTAACTTTAGTGGCTTTATGTCTCACATTAACCAGATTGCCTAAATAACCTTAGTGGCTTTATGCATCTCTGCTTTTTGCGGATGATGTGGTCCTTTTGGCTTAATCAGATCATGATCTCCAGCTCTAACTGGAGTGGTTCGCAGCCGAGTATGAAGCAGTCGGGATGAGGATCAGTGCCTCCAAATCTGAGACCATGGTCTTGAGCTGGAAAAGGGTAGGGTGCCTTCTCCAGGTTGGGGAGGAGGTCCTGCCCCAAGTGGAGGAGTTTAAGTATCTCGTGGTCTTGTCCACAAATGAGGGAAGAATGGAGCAGGAGATCGACATGCAGATTGGTGCTTGCCTCTGCAGTAATGCAGGCGCTATACCGGACTGTTGTGGTGAAGTGAGAGCTGAGCCAGAAGGCAAAGCTCTCAATTTACCAGTCGGTCTACGTTCCTATCCTCATCTATGGTCACGAACTTTGGGTAGTGACCGAAAGAACGAGATCACGGATACAAGCAGCCAAAATGAGTTTCCTCCACAGGGTGTCTGGGCTCTCCCTTAGAGATAGGGTGAGAAGCTCAGTCATCTGGGAGGGACTGCTCCTCCATGTCGAGAGGAGCCAATTAAGGTGGCTCAGGCATCTGGTTAGGGTGCCGCCTGGACGCCTCCCTGGTGAGGTGTTCCGGGTATGTCCTACTGTGGGGAGGCCCAGAGGAAGACCCAGGACACACTGGAGGGACCATGTTTCTCAGCTGGCCTGGGAACACCTTGGGATTCCCCCTGACAAGCTGGTCCAAGTGGCTAGAGAGAGGGAAGTTTGGGTCTCTCTGCTTAGGCTGCTGCCCCCACAACCCAACCCCAGATAAGCAGAAGAAAACAGACGGATGGACGGCTTTATGCCTCATATTAACTGGATTGCATAAATAACCTTAGGGGCTTTATGCCTCTTACTAACCAGCTGCCAGTCTGAAGCCATTTTCTGGGACTGATAACTGCTAATAACATCCATTTAATTGACTGATAACATCCAAAACAGGTGTCTAAAAGTTTCTGCACACTTTACCATTAATGCTTACTTCATCATTTTTGTTAGAACAAAGACAAACTCACCCCAAAACATTGCAGTAGTACCCTTTTATCATCTTGGCTGGTTTCCTTATTTAAATAGTCGGCTAAAGCTTGAAGTACACTTGGCCTTATGGTGGCATTGATGTGCCATGGACTGTTGATGTCTTCCATTGCCAACATGATCACCACAGCAGCGCTGACAGTTTGATCCAGCACTTTAGTCACAGGTAGAGTCAGCAGATTCCCCATCTTGAAGCTCATACTCTCCACCCAACAGCGCACTATCATCTGCAGGAACATGTTCTGAGTCACGCAGGGCTGGCAGTCGAAGATTAAGCTGTTCGGGCAGCTCCAGTTAAACTGTTTCATCAGCTTTGATGCTAAACAAAAATCAGGCTTTGTCGTGGTAGTGCTGCTAATGGGTGGGGTTGTGGTGCCATTATTGGCTGATGTTGTGCTGATTCTGGGTGGCATTGTGGTGCTGCTGCTGGGTGACGTAGTGCCATTGATTGGTGACACAGTGCCATTCATTAAAGCTGTGTAGTTAGTGTATGTCTTACACATTGTGCTCACCCACGCTTTAGACGTCTCCTTGGACAACAACATGAGGAGAACAGAATTTGGGCAAACAGCGAACACAAAATTGGCCTGGTCTCGCTCCCAGCACTGAATCAAGAGGTTCGCATTCGGAACAGATGAGGCCCACTTGGAGTACTGACACTGCTCAGAGGGTTTAAATGCAGTCTGGCCAGGAGGGATACTGCTTGAACTGTTACAGTATTTTATTAACCAGATGTTGTCCTGATTGGCCAGCAGGTTCTGGAGGACTGTATTGTTAGCACAGACTTTGGAGCTGAAGTTTACCGGGTCTATCTCAGCGCAGAGAGCAACCTCAGTCATGTCCACAATGATGGGTAGGGTCCAGTCAGGGTACCTGCATATCTAGGAAAAATCATTGGAGAACAAAGTCTGAGTTAATGAGCATCTTAACTCAGCTGATTTGTCGAATAATCAAAGTGGTTTTAGGTTAACAATCTGCTAATCTGTCTGTGATTTTAGGTATTTTTCCTTTAGGATTGCCAAAATCTTAGTTGTGCTGATAATTATCATGTTTGAAAAAAAGTCTGTTGCATACTTTCTAAAACCTATATCTGTCATTGTGTTTTCAAACAATAAAATCATGTCTTTTAGGTGAAGGACCCACCTGTGGAGTGACCGTTATTACCTCCATGGTGGTGCAGTCTGATATAAGCCACTGGTTCTGAGGGTTTTCCAGCAGCTTTTGTAAAACAGTCAGTTTGCAGCAGACACTCTGATTAAAGCTCTGCTGATCGTACTGCCAACAGAAGGCCACGATGGATTCGTCCACGTGCCGGTCTCCCCACGACTGGTAGTCACACCACGCAATCGGGTCAAAGGTTGGCGCGGGCATCGGCGGAACAATCAGAGATGTGCTGCAGTGGTCCCCCACCCACGCAGTGTCTTGATTGAGAAGAAGACCATTCAGAAACGTTTTGTTCGAACAGACCTGACTCAAGAAACCAATCTGATCGTAGAGGATGCACTTTGTCAAAATGTCTGTGGTGATTTGCATCACATCGTGCCAGTCGGAGTATTTACAAGAATCCAGCATTAACGGGGGGTTGGTGAACATCTGTGGAAGGACTACATTGGAGCAGTTGGGCATGAGCGGCCAGTTGTCTGGGTTGGAGAAGAGAACCATAAAGAACCCAGTGTTCTCACAGATTAGAGTGTTCAGTTTGGGACCATCAAGGCTCAGGCAGAACCTCAGCAGGGCAGGGTCCACTGGCTGAGGGAGCTGCTCCACCCACTGCTGGTACACGCAGAACTGGCCCACCATGTATCCGGGGTCTGCAGACGAGTTAGCACAGTATCCGTACAGCCAGATGTTAATCTGGTCTGAAAGCAGCGTCTTCATCAGCAGGGAGTTGTTACAAACACGCTTCACAAACTCCGTGCGGTCGTTGTTGCTGCACAGGGACACGAGGGAAGCYTTCTGGGCGCCATTCCCCAACCAGCTGCTGTAGTTGCAGGCCGGCTGTTGGATGTTCGATGCTGCTCTGGCCACGCGAACGGGTGCAGAGGAGGACCCGTACAGAGACGTGGCCGCAGGAGACGGCTGTGGGACCTCAAAACAGTCAGATGAAGCGGCAGCAAGCGGGGACACCAGAGCTTGAATCGTGTTACACATGTTCCTCCAGGRGAGCTCGATCTGGCGGCTGCTGAGTGAGCTCAGGGCCTGGCAGAAGGCGAGCAGAGATGTGGACGATCCGTCTGCCGAACCCGTGAGGACGTCAGCACACACCGTCTCATTGAGAGCGGCCAGACTGCTGGAATTGCACAAAGACCCAAGGTGAAATTTAGTGGAGTTATTATTCGAGGAGCTGCTTTGGGCGGGGTCAGTGGAGGGGCTTTGGCAGCTCTCGTCTGGAAACATGTACGGTAACTGRGCTGAGGGCAGCAAGATTTCCAGGAGGACGTCGATGAACGGAAGGCTCAAAGACCAGCTCACGTTGTGCCTCAGTCCCCTAAAATAAAAAACAAACATGCTTTGATTAAATACTTTTTTGATAATAATTGGTGAAAGCTGCTTTAGGTACTATACATCACAGTTGTAAAGGAGACATATGCTTTTAAATCTTTCTTTTTCACATTTAAATCATTCATTCACACACTTACAGCAATGAGATTTGTTTATTTAASACAAAGAAACACGCGATCAGTTACAAGACAATATGGACAAGGATTAACATGATTTACTCACCACATAATTAGCTGCTTTAGATCTCCTGCAGAACAAGTGGACAAACAATAATCAGTGCATATAAAAACACTTAATAAACTTTTAAAAATGCTGCTGCTAATCCAGTGTTTTACCTTGTGCACAGTTATCGTTGTGATCTAAAAACGGGACTTTAATTCCAAACTGTAAGGCTATGTTTACGTAGTCTATTGGCCCGTCCAGAATCGATGCCACTACCTTGAGCAGGTACGTTACAAACGAATCCAGGAGGCCGTTCACGAAAGCTGCTTGCTCCTCGGTGAGAGAAAGATTTTCCAGCATAACAAGAAAGTTTTGCTGAAAGCTGCTGAACAGCGGCGTCATCGTTTCCCACACACTGAGGTACGTCCACAGGGAGCTGCTGGTTGTGTCTCCATTGGGGGTCAGCGGAGTGCAGGTCTGGGATCTGCTTGATGACAGTAAGCTCAGCAGTGGCTGTCCTAGCCCACCAGACACGGACTTTGTCAGCTCTGCCTGCAGTCCACAGTCCTGGCGTTCTGAGAGGATACAAACCAGCGTTTGGGGAAGGTTGTCGATGTAACCTCCTGCCACCAGGGGTTGAATAAGACTCAACAGGTTATTCAGAATGCTGTAATATACGTTTAAGTCGACTCCCGCGGAAAGGTCGTCCAGGCTGCGTTGGTTCCCGTTAGACAGCGAGTGGATTTGATCGATAACTTTCTGGATGTCTTCTTCTAATTTTGTGGARGCAGCAGGAGATTGGTTGGCATTTCTTCGAGCAAATTTGAGTTGTGCATACACCAGCCTGACATCACATATGACCCCTGGAAAATAAACAAAGTGTAAGTGTTTTCCCCACCAGCTGACTGCAGGATGATTGAGGAAACCACATATTCACCCAAATGGCTGTATTAACACTGCAGGATAGGAATAACCAAAGAGTGGCCCCCAGTCCAGCCATAAGAAACCTTATTTGGACCCAGATTAGTTGTTGAATATCAGTAAAACAAAGTTATTATTACTTTCTTTCTGTATTTACGATAAATCTTTTTTTTTGTGGTACAGCTTTTCCACAATTTATGGTAATTAATTGGGTTTAGGCTGTTTGCCTTTTCCCATATTTACATAAATTATTTTAAGCAGCTCTGTTTGTCAGCTCAGCATTTAAGGTGTTTAAAGTTGGGGGGGGGGGGGGGGGGGGGGCGGAGCCAGAGGGGTGACCTGATAGGCCACCACAAGCACCGCCCCTAAATAATCTGCACCCTTTCATGACATGATGCTTTTTCTGTATATAATTGTTTTGTTTTATGAAATAAATAAATCGAATAAAATAAATAAATAAAAATCTTCTGTTGTGTATATTTTAAAATGGCTGAATTATTGCCCTTTTTAAAAAATAGCATTCAAATTAGTGGTTATCTTAATTTGTAATTAGAATTGCTAATCAGGATGTGATCGTTCTTTGCTCTTCCTCAACAAATTTCATTTCAGTAACTCTTAAATGGCTGAATTATAGCATTTTAACGTTAGCTGTGGTGGCCATCTTGAATTTTTGATTAGCATTTAGAATTTGGTAAGTAATGTTTTTGGCTACTTATAAGCTAATTTTCAGCTTTGTATGTCTAAAAATGGCTGAATAATAAGTGGGGACTAGCGTTCAGCACGGTTTTTGGATCATTCCTAGGTGTGCTCACAAAAATCTCTACTCAATATTTCTTATAACAGCTGAATTAAAGCTATTTGAAATGAACTATGGGGACCATCTTAAATTATCAAGTCTCGTTTTATTTTAAAGTGCTTTTGTTTTTGTTTTTGCATTCTCTTCAAAAATAAAAAAACACCATGACCACCCCTGTGCCACCCCCTTGCAAAAGAAAACTTAGTTCCGCCCCTGTTTAAAGTTTAAAAAGTTCATTTTTTTCTCGAGCATTTACAGTAATTTACTGTATGTGGCACAGCTTTTCTAGTTTTTATTGGTAATTCCCATTCAACCCTCGAAGAAGCACAGGGCTGAGAAAAATAAAAATAAGATAATATATTTTTTGCTGGAAATGTCTTTAGACAAACCTTGCTGAATTTTTACCTAAATTTCTCTATTGATTTAGATTTTGCGTAGAGAAAAATGACCAAAGTAACAGAACACATTCACCACAACAGAAGCAAAAAAAAAAAAAAAACTTCACAAAATAAGTTTTAAACTTACCAAATAAGATGCAAACGGTGCAAACAGCTTGAGCTGACCTCATTTTAAGTGTCCTCAAATGAAAGCAAAACCTTCAGAAAATGCCCCAAAAAGATGCTCTTTATCCTGTTACTGCGGAGGAAACATTTAGTCGAGACAAAAACAGACAAAGAACAGGCTTCATATTTGTCAAAACACTGAAGTCAGTTGTTGGAGAAACGTTGAACTTCCCTCAGGTTTAATGTTCTCCTGTCAGCTGGAGGTGATGATCCTTGTTGCATCCCTGCCAGAGTCTGCAGACATTTCACCTCAGGGGCCACCTGAAACTTTACACCTGACCTGAGAGCAGCGTAACTGAAGACACTGGTAACAAGGGATAAAATAGAGGTAGGTGTGAAATGTGGGCTGTGAAACACAGACAGGATTTCAACAACAAGCACGCCAATCTGTGATGCAATATTAATGGAGTGAGTTGATTAACTGTCTGAAATCAGACTCCTGGCAGAGGAGTGAGGAGACTGATCTGACATCCGCAGACTCAACCAGCTGCTCAGTTCCAGATAAAGTTGTTGAAGGCTGGACGGGCAGTCAGCACTCACAACCACAAAGCAAAGCGATGATGGGTTTCAACYTTAAAAAAAGCAATGATGGGTTTCAACCACTGGATGAATTTTAATGGAACTAAAGCTGATAAAACTGATTAACTTGTGGAGTAATCTGATTGAAAATGGATGCCACAGTGATTATATTGAACACAGCTATAATTCAGTTTAATTTACAGAGATTAAGCTTGAATTTGGTGTGGTGGCAGTGGAGACCAATCCCCAACTTTTTCTTTAGCGCTAATAGCTCTGTTTCAAACTTTGATTAATGGTGACGTCAATGGAAGAGCTGTTTGGGAAAAAGTCGGATGATTTAGAGAAATTGGTACATTTACATTCAAATTTGTTATCCAGATGTATGCTTCATTTACGTTGAGTGCGTACCTTACCTGCATTTCAGAGTTGAATATCAATACATATATGTGGGAAATTGCTGGAGTAAATTTTTTCAAACTCCACCTCTGGAAAAAAAAAGAAGTGTCCTGTGACTTTTGACTCAACCTGTATATCAGGTTAACCTTTTTAATTTTATACTTTTAGTATCTTTAAGTCTAACTTAAAGACCGTCCATCGTTAAACAGAGGTGGAGGCCTCTGTTTTCAGTTGTCCCAATCCTACAGCGCTGCCATTGCCAGTATCACTCCACTCCCTGTTAACAATAAGTGTTAATTAGGTGTCAACGATAGCCGTGTGATG